CAGCACCTTTCCGTGCTTTAGCACAAGCTCGGACAACAAATCCTCCTCAGCCGCAGAGTAATTTTGGTTGCGCACCTTTGACGGACCAGCTTGTTGTTTTGAATCGCCATTTGCTTCCATTTTTGGAAACCAAAAAACAAAATTCACAAAGAAAATGCAAAATTGGAAATTTTATGTTTACGAATTGAAAACTTATAATTAAAAAAACGCGTTGTAAACTGACAATTCAGATCATTGTCGGCAGCTTAAATCTCCGTCGTAAAACAGAATTACGACGCGTCGCAAGTCTGATTATGTTTGTGAACAAATCGAAAAAATTTATGCGGGTTGTAAACCCAGTCGTATTATAAGTCACGATTTAAATAAATCGAGTTTTATACGGTTTTAAAACTCGGTCAACAAACTGGGCGTAAATATGCTTTATTTTAAACTTAGGTATATTTTGTTTCAGATTTCAGATTTAATTTAATCATATAATTTGTTTCAAATTTCTTCCTACTGGGGAATCATTCCGTTCTTTGGCGTTTCAATATAAGGTATCTCATTCATGGATTTCTCATATAGTGAGGCAAGTTTCACAAAGTATTGTGAAGAATATGCTAGACGTTTTACCACAACTAACGGAAGATTTCATGCGGATAACTGCAAACAAATTTATGGCACTGTGGAATTTTCCCAACTGTGTGGGTGCCATAGACGGCAAACACATACGAATAAAAGCACCTAATAACAATGGATCAATATTTTTTAATTATAAGGAGTATTATTCAATGGTTTTGTTGGCGATTGCCGATGCAGATTGCAAATGTGTAGCAGTTTAAATACACTGAGTTATTGTGGAAAAGATTTTATCATAAACTATTCTTTGTAGGAATTTATTTAAAAAGCAACATTAGTCGCAGAATACAAAATAATGAATTCAAATTCCCAGCGCTTAGCCCTCTTCCTGAATCGACAGAAGCTGTGCCTTACGTGTTTGTCGGAGATGAAGCTTTTCCATTGCACGAACGTTTGATGAAACCATATCCTAGAAGGCTATCACTATCTGACAAATCTAAAGCTGTATTCAATTATCGTCTTTCTCGAGCACGGAGAACCACGGAAAATGCTTTTGGAATATTGTGTGCTTATTTCCGAATATTTTTCAAGCCAATTGCCACCGTACCAGAAGCTACCGACAACCTCATCACTAGTGCATGTATATTGCATAACATTTTACGAGGTGCCAACATTCCCCTTCCAACGCATATTACAAGCAGTGATATACTACCTCTACCAGAAAACAATTTAGTACCACTGTCTCAAAATAATACCCGAGGACTAGTAGACCAATACAGATACGCGAAGAATTTAAAGAGTATTTCAATGGTATTGGCGCGGTGGAATGGCAGGACCATTATTGTGTAAATAATTGAACTTATTTTATAAATCTAGCACTGGGTTACTTTACAGTTATCCCCGAAATAACAGGAGTGCGATAATTTGACCAGTAGCTCGTTTCTGTAACAATTCTCCACCAAGGCGAATTGAGATATGAATTCGCCGCCCCGTTCTCTCTACTGCTAATTAGTAGTAGAGAATGACATATATTCTCTACCAGTAGAGAAATAATCGGTAGAGAAAAGTTACAGAAACGAGCTACAAGTGTGACTACTTTTCTTTTGTTTGTTTAATGTTTATAATTTTTTTTATAAAAGACTAGCTGGTAGTACAACAAACACCATACAAATTAACATTTCAAACTTTCTAGAAAAATTAAAAAATCCTGCAAAATTTCAACAAAATTCCAAACTTTGTAATAAAGTTTGTAATCAAAGTACAAACATAAATTTTTGAGTTTTTGTGTTATACCTTATGGTCTTAGCACTACAAAAAAATTAGTAAATAAAAATCACAATATAACGTAACATAAATGGAATAAAGATTCGAATTACATAGATAAACATATAGACGTAGCAGGGGTTGGCGTGTTAAAAAATTAACTTTAAATCATTGGGCAAATAGCAAAACAGTACCCGTCCCACATTTAGAGAATATTGCATGTTTCAGACCGAATGTCTTAATAAATTAGTTACCGAACATTAAACACTTAGGCGCGTATTCATAGTCCAGCAACTAAGTCGAAACTAACAAAGTTGCAACTTAAATTTAAGTACCAACTTAAAATTTACCTCTATTCATAGTCGCATTTCAGACTTCTACTAAGTAGTTTCGACTTAGTTAGCAAACCGAGTGTGAAAATTTATCGATTTTTCTTTACGATATTTTGGAAAAGTTACATTTTTATTAAATAATGTCAAGTTTGATCATCCGTTTATGTAATTTTTATTTTCATTGCATGATTATGCAAAAGAATAAGGTATCATTTTCTTGTTAATTGTGTGAAATAGCCAAAACATCCGCAGTGATGTGAAGTCGATGTTTATCGAAACCATGCTGTGAAACATTTAGTAGATATCTAAATGTTATGCACAAATTTACTTTAAAAGAACTAGCGTGAAACTGTCTTATTATTTGAGAATTTATCTAAATTACTCCAATTATTAAATTGTGATGTAGCTTTATTCGAATTGTAATACGCATTTAATTTCATCTTCCGATTAAAAGGGATCGATCTTTGTAAATTTTAATTGAAGATTATTCAATATTATCAAAATTACCCTCTACCAACTTAATTTTTACATATTTCGCCTGTTTTCCCTTAATTTGATAAAATACTTCTTCCTAGTTACGACTTACTGCCGTCCCTAAATTGGAGCGCTAAGCGTTGCGTTATCCATTGTCGACGAGTGTCAGCGCGCGCTATCCCCAAATCAACGCGTCGTAATTTTTGACGTTTTCTCAGATCCTCTCGTTTTTATTCTCGTTTCCTCTTTCACTTTTTTGTCCTTTCTCTTTCTTTCCGTCTTCCGCATCCAACTTCAACACGTAACGCCCTGTCAAAAATGAAAATTCCATTTGCTCGGCGTTAGCGCCGCGTTATTGTGGGATGCTTCATACAAATTGTATGGGCATGAGGATTTTTGACAGTTGTTTGGCGCTTGACGCGCCAATTTAGGGATGGCAGTTAGTTGCAGCTGCAGCCGAAACTAAATTTTAAGTTGGTACTTAGCCAGAAAAGTCGAAACTAAGGCGACTATGAATAGCTTAAGTTGTGACTTAGAATAGTTTCGACTTATTTATTTAGTACGACTATGAATATGCGCCTTAGATTTTAAAATAAAGCTTGCACCCTTGACTAAAAGCGTATTAAAATTTTCTTGGATCGGATCACCCATTTGGACACAATAACCGGAAATCACTAAACATTCCCGTCCGAATTCGACAACTTTACTTTTTCCATACACTTTTTCATTTTGCTGGTAATGATTCTGAATTTATTTAGCACATGTACGCACCTGTCTTCTGCAGTGCGTCTGCTATTACATTCCACAATCTTTGTTTTGCTTGAGTGTGCATATATCCCTCCCCGAGCTTATATTATATAAACACTCATTGCTTTTAACAAAATCAACTAGCACTTCATCCTCCTCGGTCGTCCAGGTGGCCATCGTTAGACTCTCCATACTTCCAATTACATATATGCAGCTATACATTTATTAGATTAAACATGTGAGAGGAGGATCTACTCTACTGAACAAACATGTAGGACATGGGGTACTTTTTGCCGTCATTGTTATAATTTTTGCTTTTCCTCAACCGATACCACCTTGTATAAATTCGCCTTTCGACAGGTCAAGGAAAATTTATACAAGGTGATATCGGTAAAGCAAAAACAAAAACTAGAATAACAAATTATACGTACAATGGCAGCGAGAATCGCCACAAATGTACAACAAACACAACATTTTGACATTTAGAAGTACCGCGGCCAAAATGTTCTGTCAACAGGACCTTGTATGAATTCGCCTTGCATCAGATCTTTCTTCGCCTTCAAGGCGTATTTAATAAGGTGAAGTTATCCGTATAGAAGTCGAATTTATACAAGGTGGTAGCAAGAATACAACAACAAAAACCATATGCATTTTGTATTGTGGGTGTTATCACCCGATTTACATGATTCAAGTACTTAAAAGCAATTCTTGCTGATTTTCTTTTGTGTTTTCTATTTGCTTTTACAAGCTTCAATTCTGTCGAGTTCAAGTTGTTGGTTCTTTAAATGGGAAGCAACGAAAATGTCAAAAGCAAAGCAAGAAAGTTGAAACGAATTAACGGTACAGACGCATGTGTACTCGCCTCTTTGCTTCACACCCCCTCTCTTCCACTTGCGAGCAGAATTGATTTCAATAGTTGAACTGTGTAAAAGCAGTCTATGTCAAATCGCAGCTTACATGTATTTTGTTTTTGCTTTTTATGGGTCTGCTGTCAAATCAGTAAAAGCACAAACAAAACACATGTAGGGCGAAGAAATCCGCAGATCCAACAACACCACCTTGTATAAATTCACCTTGGCCGTATATAAGTAAAAAATTAACAAATTATACACACAATGGCAGTACGGAATACAGAAAACACATCATTTTGACGTTATGCTTTTCACGGTGAAAAATTCTGCTGTCGCCCCAACACCACCTTATTAAACTCACCTTGATCGCCGTAGTAATCTGATGTATCATGTGAATGTCAAAATGATATGTTTGTTGTAAACAAGGCGGATTCATATTACATTTGACATTCACAAGGACCGCGGCGAAAATCTAAAATCGCCAGTAACACAAGAACGATAGAATACAAGATTGCACATTCCCGCAGAATGACATTTGCGGCAACGGGTAAACAAAGAATTTGGCGAAGAACAATGAGTTGACAGTTGTGAATTTGCAATGAGAAAACGTGTTTTCTTCACAATTCACCAATTTTTCAAGCCATCTTATAGCAAATTAAGCACAACGTTAACAAAAATTATACAACCACTCTTGAAATGTGTTCAAAAAAATAGAAAGAATTTTGTGTTTGTATTGCAGGTGCCGGAAAAGTGATAATATCTTGTCGCAGCGCATGTTTTCCTGCAGAAAGTGGTCGATGCTTGCTTACCTCCGATTTTAATTTGTAAATTGTGGTATTTCAACGTTTTCAACTTAACATGTCGTGTTTAAAAGTGGTGCTTTCAATTGTATGTGGGCTGGTGTTGCTGTTTGAGAACTGTGAAGCTGTGGAAGCTTTTGACAAATCTCCAAAGGACCAAAAGGAAAAATCAACTAAGTTGCCGCCTTGTAAATCATGCACTGTGCTTGTGGAATCATTTAATTTGGTGAGTGCGTGGCAGTAATAACAAATTTGTGTCGTATTAATATAAACTTTGCTTACAGGGTTTGGAAAAAATAAGTCGCGGCAAGCATGCCGGTGGTGATGCAGCTTTATTTCCATATTTTCCATAAATGAAGTGGTGCTTTATCATGCGCGGAATGCACTTAAAGGCATGGTACGTCCTCAGAGTTTAAAGATTTGTCAATTCCAAATCAACACGGGCTTCATACCGGAACAAGAAACATTGATAACATTTTCCTCGAATGATCTCGATGATTTACCGGATGCCGATCAGGTTCCTCATGACTTTTAGGTTTCGCTGTCGTTGAGTTTCACGGATAACGAATTTCCGCCGAGTAGGAATCCTCCTTGGTTACCAGCAAAGCCCATAAGACACGCACAACATATATTTAGTTCGCAATTAGAATTCGAGGAAATGGTGGATAATTTCGGCAAGTCCCTATAGTATTTCCGCCCATTTCAATTATTTATTTATTTTCCTTACAACAGTGACAAAACCTAGTTCCATCAACAAACCTACGCCTGTTAGGTCAGCTGCTTCCGTAGATAACGCCTATTTTACCAGATGCTACCGAAATAAAGCAAGAGGAGCAACCTCAACCATCACCACCAATAGACATGCTCAATTTAAACCAGCCCCAACCCCAGCTGCCGGTGCAAGATCCACAAGCCACAACGAGTAACGCTAGTTTCGATTTGCTTGGAGCATTCGGGGATGATAATTCATCTGGCATTGGCTCGGCTCCAATACCTGATATTTTAGGTAAGTCTTAGACTTTTAGGCGGCCATCCAAATTAATATTTGCTAAGTTCTGAATTGAGGCCTACATTCCTATTTTAGAAATTAATGTACAACCAACTTCAAATGCCAACCTTGATGATATCTTCGGCTCAGTTGCTTCATCGGCGCCGAAAATCAACCTGGAGTTTAATAGTTTTTCTGTAAACCAGCCGACACCAACTAGTGCAAACCAACCTGGTGTATTGGTTTGTGTCGCGTCAGTCTCAGCAAAATAGTCTTGCATCAACAACCAGAGCTCAGTACGTCATAGTTATTTTTCTTCTCTATTTTTGGAAGCTAGTGCAATGAGTTATAGTTTTAATAAATATTTATTCGATTTGAAATTTTTACTACTATAGTCTTTATTTTGCAGTATATTATATACATATATTTGCAGTATATTATATTTTCATTGATCCACTTAGTTAAGTTTAACTATAACGAAGCAAAATGATGTGTAAAACCAAGTAATTGCTTTTAAATCTAAGTAAAAAAATATACAATTTAAATGATAATTATTAAAAAGATACATGCATACATATATACGTTAAGAACATAAATATATATAGGATATAAAATTTTAATCTCTTTGTCAACTTAATTGCGGCCCTGAAAAGGGCCTTTGGATAAATCATATTACTTGCCTGCAAATAAATAAGTTTATATTTCTATAAAAGACGCTTGATGATTTTTTAAAACTAGGGACTTACGTAGCATGCATGTATTTTAATTTTAGGAGTCTGAAATACTGAGATCAGTGCGTGTGAAATGCGGACATTGATTCATGCTGCAAGTAAAGAACGGTCTACATTAGCAGAATCGGATAATACGCCCTTGTTGTGTCCAAGCAGGTATAGTCGCAGACGGTACTTGAATTCCTGTTGGTCAGGGTGATCATGTAACCCGCCTTATGACCGAATAATGCCGAAGAAATTTTCGAGTACGTCTTGGTTTAGCCGATACGTCAAGACATACTTGACATTAAAGCGAGCTTTAATGTCATCGAATAACAACTTCAACGCCGTATTACTTTGAATGATTCCTAGGGATATAGTAAGAAAAAATAACAAACATTTAATGTTATTCTTGAGATAACCATATGTATTAATTTACCTTTTTGGAATGGCAGCAGACTAAATTTGCCAAGCACCCTCATATTTTTGACTAGGTCGGTCATCTCGTCTAGGATCTTGTTTTGCTCCTCGATCGCTAAACCGTAAGCAAGACACCGCTTCCTGGAGTCGGCGTGAGGCACCCTGACGTTTAGAACGTCAAACCAGTCATTTGTCTAAGGTGTATAATTTGAACATGAGTTTTAATATTGCGGTTTAAATATATCGTAACCTTAATTCACAAAGGCCCTAAACAAAAAAATAATTATATTTTATAGCAGAAGCAATAAACGTTATAAAAATAGTATCGAAAATAGGTAGAGCTTTTGAAAAAGGGGCATGTAACTCCGTTGCTTTTGGTACTAACACTTTGACATTTTTATTTAAGCTATATTTTAGTACGAAAAACTGTTGGTTAGAGCCTTTGTGAATTAAGATAACGATATGTAATATAGTAAAATATATAATATATCAATTTCATAATATAATATAATAACACATACTGTTTTGAATAACTGGAAGCATTCGGTCCAGTTTTGGTTCTGCAAATGACCCAGACTTGCTGCCCTTGTTATGGCCTGCGCCACAGTATGCGAAAATAGTTTCGCTGCCGTCTTGACTTTTTGGCGGTGAGCTCCAGCCACGGTCAAGTTACTTGCAGAAATCTTGTGAGTTATTGTCAAGTCCGTGCTTGTAATTGACAATAACTCCAAAATTGTTTCCTTTTTCACAGGTTTCCCATTAATTAGGAAACCTTGATCAAGGAAATGATTTCGCAAAAGTTTTAGCAAGTGTGGCACGTCAGCGAAAACGTAAATCCTTTGGTCATTGAAAATAAACCTATGGAAATGAGAAGTATTATAAGAACTGAAATCAATAAGTTTAATTGTGATTATTTACCACGGCTGGTCTTCAGTTACGCCTAGATCATTAAATAGGGCCCTATTGGTACCTCCAAGATCGCATACGACAGCCACTGCGTTATAGCCGCAATCTTTTGACTTCTGCAACATGCTTCGAAGCAAAACGGAAGTCATTTTGCAGTCGAAGTCATTTTGCAGTCGAAGTCATTTTGCAGTCGAAGTCATAAAAGATTGGCTGTTTCCACTTTGCCATGAGACCTGAAATATAAAAGGCCTTAATAAAGGTTTGATATTCTATAAAATCTTGATTGTAATGTTTACCTCTTAACATCGCTACCTGTACGTAGTTGACGGGGGCTAATGTTGAGTCCGACGAAACATCGTAACAGTAAGATTGTCTTACTTTCATTTCGTCGAATTTCAACACGCATAGCTTCTGTGCCTCGTTCATGTGGGTAGCGGCGGCCAATAACCGGAAGACTGGGGTTATAAGTCCGCGCGAAATTCCAGTTTTTGTGCCCAACTTTGAAGTGTGCGGACCGATGGGAGTGGAAGGCATTGCTTATATAGCAACCTGTATGCTTTAGGACTGGCAGCATACAACGATATTGACTTCGCAATATCCTCTTCCGCCCATTTTCGTCGCTTCGACCCAGACTTCAGCTTCGCTATCTGCCCTTTGGTGAAGATGGAAGCTAGTGCATCTTCCACATTTTTCATTTGGGCAGCCATTTCTTCCAAACGTTTTTGCAGTGACTCCATTTTCCATGCGTGTCTCTTCAATTGCAGGTCGGACTCCTGCTTCAATGTAGCGAGCTCGGTGCACTGCTTTTCGGTTTCCTTTTTGAGGTGTGCATTTTCGCGCTTGAATGTCTCACTTCAAATAAGAGAAATATAAGATATTATTACATTTACACATAAAGATCTGTTACTTATTAACGTACACTTCCACTTTCAACACTTCCACTTCCTGAAGATCAGTATCATAGTAATCACAGTTACGGATAGGTGACGTCGAAGCATCAACAGTACCGTCCCTGGGCCGATATTCTTTATCGCCTTCATTTAAACCAACTAATAAACCACTGACATTAATAATATAATATTTATAGTATAATATTTGCTACCTTCGCAATTTTGTAGCTCAATGATCTCCTCAACGCTGTCATTTTGTGACTCACACACCGGAGCAGGATCTATTTCCCACTCAAAAATGGTTGGCCTGGCGTCGCGGCGAAGCGATGGTCGACTCGCAGTTCCTAAGACTTTTATTAGATATCGACATATATAAGTAATGAAAATAAATGACAGTTACTCATGTAATCCTTATCCGTAAAGTGCTTCATGCATATTACGCTGGTGTCTAAATTGTATGGCTTCTCCTGCCGGCAGAACTCTACCCACTTTCTGGCCAAGGCGTCGTCGCGGGGAAACAAAAAAAAACTGCATTTAGGGCCTTTACCCCTACGGCTGCTGCAATTCAACACACGACACGACATTTTTATAAAGTTTTTATTACAAATAAAATGTTTTTTACTTCAGAACGCACGAATTACTTCGATTTTTCACTTGACAATACACAATACGTTTGCACTTGTTTATAAACAAAAAGTTTGTTTACGTATTGCCATAAACGTCAAAGTCGGCAAAACCAAAGTAGCGGTTTCGGGAATGCGCCACCTTCAGTTCATTACACCATGCCAGTAACACCACCTTGTATAAATTCGCCCTGGGCAAGGCGAATTTAATAAGGTGGTGTTATAGGCGAATCTGATCTGATCGATTATTTCCTCCTGAATCCTCTCGCGGTTTTCGGTAACGAGTTTTCCTTTCTTCTCCTGTTGTCCTTATGCGCCAGGTTTTCACTCTAGATCTGTTGAAAATGCTTCGCGTTTTTTGTACCTTTTCACTGGAACTATTAATCGATAACAATGGGTGCAATCCAGACAGCGAGAAAAACTGGAGTACTTTCATTGGAAAAGCGTAGTTGTAAAAAGAGCGTTAGTGAACCCAGATACGGTATTATTATAGACCGTCGCCAGTACACATTTTCATTGCCCGATGGGGGTTACTTCAGTTTTTTTGTTTACCTGCCAAACGTGGTAGAGGAATCTCTACTCCTAGATCGGCTAGTATGAGATTTGTTAACCAACTCTGTAGTGAGTCCTTCTACATTACTGCGATCATTCTTAGTCACCTCCAAAATATTTTAAATATGCTGCCCAACGGCGATGAGGTCTATTGTCTTCACTTGCTAAATTTTTGCTGTATGCTCCAGAAACATTGAATTTTAGCAATCGTCATTAAAGAAATTGTGAACATCGGCCATTTTATAGCAGCACACAATTGATGCGCAGACTTTCTTGGGGAAAAGTTTCCCTCCATTGGCAACTTTTCGAATGCTTCTACAACTTAAGGAAAATTTTCTGAAAATTTCCTGATAGCCTTATATTTTTCCGACCATATTTTTTCACACAAACCTGATATATTAGGAGCATAATTCTTGCGTGTCGTTGATTCGCGAACAATTTTATCACATCTTTTATAGCCCTGACAGACATGTGGTTTGTACACCATGGTATGCATACTATGGATTTTGATACTATTTCCATGTGACACATATTTAGTACTTATACCGATGTTTTGTTTCTTTATCACAACTGATAGCATGTATGTAGTCCTCGGGCACGAGATTTTTTTTCATAGCATTTTTATTCATTGAATTTTTATGATATTAAAGTACTTAGGTTTGTTTCATAATGAAATTGTTTTTAAACAAATATTTCCTCGTTTCATTTTCGCGTTCTTTTAAATAAAATAGAAAGCAGTTCTCTTGTCCTCCATATCTTTCCTTAGGAAACTAAAACGTGAGACTGCTTACTGAATACCAGGGTAAATGTCTGTCACATCGAAATATGTAGTACCAAAATCCATAGTATGCATACCATGGTGTACAAACCATATGTCTGTCAGGGCTATTAGCCTGGTATTCAGTAAGCTGTCTCACGTCTCTAGTCTCAAAAAGAAAAATATGGAGGAAAAGATATTTGCTTTCTATTTTTTTAATGACCTCAGCTTCGATCCGTCCGTGAATATATTTATTGGACCTCTGTTCCAGAAACTACCATTCTCCTATTCTTTCTGTCCAGGATCAAGCCCAATAACTTGACCTTGTCAGAAAGAACAAGGGAACCACTTCCTATTGAGGGAAGCCGGGCATGAGGCACTTTATACCTTGTGGTGAATAATATGAGCTCTGTCTTTCCAGGATTTATGGCAAGTCCGCAGATAGAAGACCAGTTTGTGACCAAGTTGAGGTATCATTGCATAAGATAATACAGAGTATCCAAGAACTT